TATGTCTTCTTGCAAACTTGCGCTATTATCAAACGCCTACCTTCAGTTATTTTAGGTATTTGCTTGACCTGAAAGTGGCGAGGATGAATTCTGTGGCTTCAAAAGCCGACGAGAATCCGGAGCAGCAAAGCACAACAAAGTATGTATTGTGATTTACTTATGTTTTCAAAACTTTCTTCTTTGTAAACGACCAGAGCCAAGGCGAGCAAGTATTTGATTTTGAATAACAGAAAAAGCAACTGTTTTCTTAGTTTCCCTGTTATTTGGTTTATAAATGAAGGCTACCTGTTCTTGTCGATTGAAGAAATCTGTCAAAATCAGCGAAAATGGAATCTTCGATGCATTGACTGAATTGCATAAATCAATATGTTTGCATTAATCATTGCGAATTGAATGCGTCAGTTTAGATTTCGCATCATTGGCAGTTTTCGTTAGCTGTCTTGCCAACTCCACAAGTAAAGAAAATTACAAGTAAACAAAATTACGGTTATTAAAAACCGAAGAATGTTGTCACGTTATTTGCCATAATAAGCATTTCGTAATTTCAATCTCGTATTGTTTAATGATTTACTTTTGTTATAAACCCCTATCAGTTGCATATTTTGCACACTTTGCATAATATTTTTCTGGGCGAAGTTTGGTACCTGTTGGTGCTGCTGTGTCTAGAACACTGCATGCTTCCACTGAAACAGTAATTTCCAGAATTCTACGCCAGTAAGGCAGCCTGAAATGCACATAGGTGTAGACAACAAATAAAATGAAGAATAGTAACAAAAGCCTGTTTTAAACGAATCCAACATTCTTTTAAACATGCTCCTTGAAAATAAAAATATCAATTCCATTTTATTGGAAATTCCCATTTTTTGGTTGAGATCTAATTTGTTGGTGTTAGATTTTCTAGCAGAGTGAGCTACTGCATTTTCCTACAAGTTCTGACCTTAGTAAAAAGGGCTTCGAAATGTTTTGATGTATTTGGTGGTTCAGAGGCTGTTACAGCCTTTGTTTTAAAACCACTAGGTGCTCCTTGGTTCTATGATTGTTCTCAAGCATCCATTAATTGTTTTCATTATAAACTGTTATGAAGATGCCATACATTCAAGTCAAGCACCACTTTATTTGAAAATGTTCTACTGCTCTAGCAGAGCTGTGCTATTTGTCAGGAAAGGAACCAATGTCAGCTGCTCAAATGTTATGCTTTCTGCAAATGAGATAACCTACCACAGACTGTACAAGTCAAGAAACTCTTTATCAGCATGTATTTTGCTTGTTCACATGGGTTATCAAATATGCTTAGGAAGATTTGGACAAACGCAGCTGGGAAATAAGTGTTGAGAAAAAATTTCTTGGTACTTTGTCTTGTTATCTTGCATCAAGAAATTGGGTATACTTCAATTAATTGTATAAATAGGAATCAAAAGTTGGGAAAAAGTTTATTTTTAGAAACCAAAGATTTAAATTAATAGTGCCTTAGAATTTACCATGGAATTTTAAAAGGTATTTTTAAAAGAATTTTGAAAAGGTATTTTTATGCCAGTTTTGTGGTTTCTCTTATGCACAGTTTAGAAATGGGAATAGGATCTTTTTAGTGAGCTACTCAGAAAATATATACAAAGAAAGAATAATTTTTGCAATGCTGCAATTTTCTGGTAACATCAGATTTTGTTTCCTTATTTTGCAGTGCTTAGCGTAATCAAGAACCTAGTAGCCTATGCTTTGTTAGATGTTTTAGTATTAGTAAGTGATGTGGTTCTAAAAGGTCTACCATATCTATATATATATATATATATATATATATATATAAAATGAATGCAACGAAAACATGCTTTTTGCATGATCTTTATTTTCCCTGTTTTCCTTTGTTTTAATCGAATCAAAAATGTTTTTAATATGTTTATATTTTTAAGAATTTTTAGGAGTTTAACAGGAATCTTAAGAAAATGTAACACTTTCAATTCAAGATTTATCACCTATCATGAAAGTATTCACACATATTTTAAACCTGCAATTTATTTTTATTTTAGAGCATCACTAAAATACAATGGTATGAATCTTCAAGCAGCAATATCAGATACAAATGAAGCCATGGCTCTGTGCCTGTGCAACAGATTTGGGGAGGCACAAGCACTGCTTGAACCTCAGTAATTATTTTTTTTCAGATCATCTTTTGTCTTCTTAAATAGCTGTATTTATTTCACGAATGCACTCAATATCTGGCTAGTTAAAGTAAGATTTGTTTATATTTCCAGAAAGGCAAGTTTTCAAATATTGATCAATTTTTTTACAAAAAGGAAAATTTTGAATTGCCAAGCAGTCAAATATTAAGAATTCAAATTGATAGTTTTAATGGTTTGATTCTACTAATGGGCTGAATAGACAATTTTATTGTATATGTTGTTTAAGCATTATTCAGTTCCAAACAGGCTGAATTTGCCAAATTCTATTGGTTTTCTCTTGCTCTCAAATGTTATGGATTGCTGGTTTACTTATGTTTTGAATCTGTTTCATTCTTTTTAGCACAAGTGACAGTATCTACCATGCTCTTGGGTACTCTACCATTTCATATCTCCAGGCCATAATGACATATGAATCAGTAAGTATATATTAAACTTGAATCTGATGATAAATATTCAAGATGATTTAGATAGATAACTTAAATTGTAAAAACAAGTTACCTAGTCCTGTCGTTTCTTGGTAAATGAAGCTACATGCCCTTGCTCCTAGAAAATCCAGGAGGCATGTTGCTGTAATTTTATTAAATTCTAATGGACATGATTATTATGCACAAAAAATTGCATAAAATCAGCTGGTCGTATAGAGATAGTTATACAGGGCTGGTAGATAAATGCTCATCAGTAAATTTTTATGTTACAGGGATTGTCAGAGATTGTTAGGAATTGAACCCTTCTGCTCATCTTTTAAAATATATCTTAGATAGAGTAGTTATTTCATGGTGAATATTTTTTTAAAATAAGATGAAAGCTATGTCTACCATACAATTCTGGATATTTTAAAGGAATGAGACCAAACGTATAAGAACAAAATAATTTTTGTATAAGAAGGTATAAAATCTAAAGAAGTCTATAAAGTAGTCAATTGTGAAAAAGAATGAAAAACGACACAAATCCATCATACATGCTAAAATTCATTTTCTGTTAAAAACTGTATGATGTTTTGTCTCTGACTTTCAAAGCTGGTCAAGTTGATGTTTGTTTCAAAATTATTTGGAGATGCTTTGATTCCGATTCTACATTTCAGGATGCCATCGAAACTGCATGTAAATCAGTGAAAAGGGGTTTACAAGTTTGCAACAAGTAAGCAAATCACATTTTTTAACTCAGTTACTTATTATTGTAATAGTTATATGGCCAGGCACAATGCTTCTTGGGGGCAATATAAAACAGTCTTTTAAAAAAAGGATTTGGAAGTTAATGCTTCGTTGTTGAATTTTTGGAAGAACTTTGTACCTCCAACCCTCTATCCAACTCCCACTGCACCCCTTCATTATTAAAAGTTTCCATTTCAGATGTAACTTTTTAGAATATGTTAGTAGCCCTCTGGCTGTGAGCTCCTCATAGCCCATTCAACCTTGTTCTTAAGTAAGTGAAAGTAAGTCTTATTTGTGTGAAAGCAGTCAAAGTAGCAGGGGCAGATACCGCTTCAAGTTAGGGAAGAACTGAAAAAATCAAATAATATTTTTAATTGCAAGTGGCAATAAATGGAAAGAATAAATCAAACTCCTAGAATGCAAAAAAAATCCAGGCAGATGGCCAACTCCAAGCAGATTGTGGGTATCCTTGGTCAAGGATGATGAGCGCCTGATAAGGTCTTCCTTGGTGCTTCTAGCACCCATAAAAACTCTGTTAGATGGCTTAGATCAACTGAAATAACAATTTATTCATATGATTTTATCAATTCCACTTCTGAAAGCAAAGTGCATAAGTATTTTTTCTATGGCATCTCTTTATCTGTGCCGTAAAAGAATGGTAAAAATGATCTTTCCCCCTGACTGGATATCCCAAACATTTAATACGACAAAATATCTTAAGCGTCCGCAATAAAAATTTTTAGGATATAATTGGATCTTTTAATCAATTTTGACTCGACAATCACTAAGCTATGTACACCACAAAGCCAAAATGGCGACACCGGTCATGTTTACAAATGAGAACATATTCAGTTAGGGTCTGCGTTTGAGTGGCAATTAGTCTGTATTTGCTGCTCTTTACAATAGTTCTAGTGTTCGTTTCTAAAACAAAAGCGAAAATCCATTTATATATTTAACATTTGAGAAGTCAAAACATCAGTTTTCTTCAGCATTTGTTTCGAAGGGGTAAATTTCGCGAATGGTTTCATACTAAATATTTTCCTCTGGGTATTATTGTAAAGAATTCTGTACATATCGTGGTTTCAAAAGTATAAAGGCTTTAAATTATTGAAAATGAGAAATATTTAGATAAGCTTTTCAAAGGGTCATGTTGCAATATGCGGTGTGCTTAGTCGTTATTATTTCTTACTATAGTTAACAAGTTAAGGAGTTTTAGAAGAAACCACATGATTATGTATTCATCATCATGTTATTTTCATCCGTTTTATGAGGGACTAAGCAGATGTTGCTTAACCAATGCATCGTTCTCTTGGCGCATCACATCGTCGATGTTTTTCTTGTTTTGGCTAAAGTTTTAATCCACTAAGATTTTCTTTAAAAAATTGCTCATAAGACATTCAGAAATATCTGTCGATGGGATCTCAAAGTGGCCTAAAGCCAGCATTGTGCTTGAGCGAAAGCATTAGATAGATGTCAAAGCTTTGTTGAATGCGTTTTCCAGAATCCTGTGTTCAGCGAAGTTCCCCCTTGTATCAGATAATTTCAGCCATTATTGGAGAAAGGTTTAATTTTGCAGCATTCAATGATCATGAAAAGGACTGGATCGAGCCTCCATAGCCATGGCGTCCAGATTTACTCAAGATATCCATTTTCAGACCTTGTTGAGCTGCTTTGGACTTGAATGTCTCGATGACATTAGATGCAAATCCTCTCTTTAAAGCCGTTGGTCGTCAGTAACGTTTGTTGTTATCCCCCCCAATTAAATTGCTGCTTGTATTGATCATATTTACTCTTGTATTTTTGTCAAGGTTTCGAAGAAATCAAACATGGACGGAATCGCTGTACGCTTTCGTTGGTAAACCGCATTTCGAAGAATATTCCGAATGTGAGGTTCCTAGAATGATTTATTTTATCTGCGTTATGTGTTACTGTTTTTCCTCGGGAAAAACACTGCGATTTAAATCTTACACCCCTAACAGCCGTTTTCCCGTTTACCCAAAATATAATTTCTTTGGCAAGATAATACTTTTTTCCGATTGAGAATTTGAGTAAGCTCTCTATCTATGGAAAGTGTAAACAATGCAGCTGTTAATGCCGGTGTAGGTGTAATATGCGTTTCCGTACTCTATGCAAAAGTGTAACATTAATAAACAGAATGTGTTTCAAATCATGTGATTTCATCGCAGTGCGATGTTATGACACGTTATGAGCAACAAACTGACCAAAATGCTTTTCGAGTTTAAAATTTCACACTTGTCAATCAAGCAAACTTTGGAGTCGCCATTAATGTTGTACTTCTTTTTGCATAAACTGAACAAGGGAAACCACAACACCGCTTCTTATTAGCACCCCCTTTTTAAAAATAGTTCGATTGTTCTTTACATTCTGAAAAATATGAACCAGAACATTTCGGTACCCAGGTTTGGTTCACATGCTGAATTCCACCATTCTTTTCGGTTCCCTATTGTTTAAGTGCTTGGGTACGTTTTTGCATAACCAAAATTGTCATGCGTTAGTGTACCCGGACCGTTTTGCATGCAAAATTCCACCATTCGTTTTGGCACCCTATTGTTTCAATGCTTGGGTACATTTTTGCAAAACCAAAACTGTCATGCGTTTGTGTACCCCGACCGAAATGCATAAGGTTACCGAAACGCATATGACACCGCCAGGCAGTATATACTTTTACTAAAAAGAACTCATGGAAGATTTGTTGAGAGACAGGTGACGCTGTAAAAGTTTCCTAAGGGCCTGTTTACATGAAGTGGGCTGGTCAACTCAAGTGGGGTCCGTGCTTTCTATAAATTCCTTTGTTCTCTGTATTTGCGTTTACATGGAGAGTAGGCCAGCCCGCTCAGGTGAGATCCGCGAGAAGGACAGGTGGGATCCGCGTGAAGTGGGATGGAAATTATCCATGTAAACGAAATCAGGTGGGCTAACCCACTCACTGAAACTCATTGTGCTTGCGTAGAGGTAGTTGGCGCCAAACTAAACCAAATCATACTGTCGTATGAATCGGCAGCAACAGATCAGGCTCTAAAACTGTAGTAAAAGCGTACAGAAACCTAGAGAATTCAAACGTTTCCTCGATTGAAATGACACGAACCTGTCGATCGTATACTTTTGATAGATCGAACACAAAATCAGAATTCCGTCTAACTGAAGTACGAATCCGAGCATAACGTATAATTTAACGGTCAGAAAAGAATCCAATTGTTATTCGCCATTGTTGAGGAAAACTGATATTCATTATTGTGGCGCCAAAAACTAAAAAAACCTCATTTACAATCTTCAAATAAGAGGCCATCCCACCTAAGTGGGATAAATCGCGTCCTCGTGTAAACACTTGCGAATACGGTCTCACCTGCGGAAACTAGCCCACTCCATGTAAACAGGCCCTTAAAGGCCTTTGTATCTTGGTAGGCCAACACATGCCCAAGATTCGATATCTCCGCTTGTGCGAATAGAACGGATTAGCAAATATGAGTTGAAATGCACTTTAGTTTCGATTAACCTTAAGCAATCTTTTTGATGAAAGCCATCATTTAAACAATCTGTGTTTTTACATTGTTACAGATATTGAGTTGACAAATTGTTTCTCGGTTGTCTAAATTGTTGCTCGGTTGTCTAAAAGTCGATCGGTGGAGTGCATATCTTGGGACTTTATAATTGGATCATTGAGTGTTCCTTCTCCCTACATACTGAAGATTTTCTGACTTAGCTTGTATTATTTTTTTACAGTGGAGATCCACGCAGAGCTGTGTTATGCTGAATGTCTGTTAGAAAGAGCGATTCTCACGTTTATCCAGGTTTGTTTGTAATCGATGTTTAACAGATGCTCAAATTTATGGGTAGATTAGACTGTATTTACTCAAATTCCAGGTTTGAGATTCCAAGATCCTCCATTTGGAACAATCAATATTTGAAGGGGGGATAATTCATTATTTCAGAATCTAAATCTCATCTAATTCGAAATTTCTTGGGAACGAAGACAAGAATTTGGGGAAATTGATTGTTGGCTATTGTAGTATGACAAGGTCATAGGTTTTGAGTAACTAAAGTGAAGTCTTTAGAACTAACACTGCTCATTGGTTTTCTGTTTGACATGTCTAATATCTTCTATCGATTTCTATCAAATAATCTATTTTGGGTGTTCATCCATTATTCTGGACTGATCTACCTCTATAATATGACATCAAAAGTTCCTCCCCAGAATATAAACAGAATGGAATTTGTGCAAAGCGTTACTTCCATTCTTTCTACCTGATTCTGTAAAAAAAACCCGTTAAGACCCAGATCGAGTTATCAACTCGCCTTTCCCTGTAGTTATATACTTCAGACGCCTTTTTTAGAATACACTTTTTAAAAATTTTCAACGACCATTAGAAAGTACATTTGATAGTGAAAAATGTTCACGCCTTTAGAAATTTCGAATAGCCAGATTTTTTTAATAAGAGTTCAAGGCTTTGATATCTCTTTGATTAATTGTTTTCTTTAATCTTGCTCTATGTCTTCTATACACGGTAGACACTTCTTTTTTATCTTTTATTTCACTTTCCAGGACGAGAATTTAATAAGTTTTATCAAAGGCAGCTTGAAGATAAAACACGCCTATAGTATATACAGGTAATCAAATATTAATCCGCTTTTAATGTTACATCTATGTCTTTGCAATTCTAATAACAATTTTTGTTTGATTAACTGAGACTCTTGCCATTCATTTTTGCTATTCTTATCTGCACCTAGTCCAAAAAGATTTAAAACCACCGGGAGAAACCCTAATGTAATTGAAAAGGCCTGGATGAAACCAGCCGAACAAGATATCTTGACAGTAGAACGTATTTAACTCCCTATGATACTGTGTTAGGACTGAAAGTCAGCTTCGTCAATATGGTTCATTTAAACTAGTTTCAAAGTCCTTTGATTTCGCTGCCATCTTTTTATAGGTCATGTTTACAGTTGATGTCACAATGTCCATCAGGCCTAGCTAAGGCTGCAAATCGGCTTGATTTTGAAGGTGGCGTTCATCTGGGCATCGGGACATTTAACCTTGTAAGCTACGAATTCTTTTTCGTATCAGCTGTTTTAAAATTTTCTTTCCATCTAGCCCGTCCGTCGGTTCCGTCAAAGGAAATTGTTATCTCAAAGATCTCCTTCCCGCTATCTGTATCGTAAGCGAGCAATGCTGTCTTTGTAATTAAAGTATTATTTTGCCGTTATCAAGCACTCATTATCCTTGACCAAAGATACCCACAATCTGCTTTGAGTTTTGAGTTGGCCATCTGCCCGGAGATTTTTTCCATTCTAGGACTTTGATTTATTCCCACCATATCTTTCCCTTATTCAATTCAATTCAATTCAATTCAATTTTATTTACATACCGTAATGCATCGAACAAGCGCTCTCTTAAAATAAGCGCCCCCTGGAAAAAGCATCCACCCCTCGAATGAGCGCCCATCTTTCAACCTTCAGAATCGGGCGCTAATTCGACGAAAGCATAATTGGAAGGCAATTCAGCAAGAAAGATTGAATAAACAACACAGTTCGTTTTAGCTTTCATTCTCATTTTTCCATTTCATCAAAATAACATGGAAACTTATAAAAATAGCTTCTTGTGTCATAATTGCGATGAAATTTTTCTTTTCTTGGAGTTTTGCCATCAAAACTTCTGCCAACTTGATGTCATTTCTAATCGCCGTATATCTCTTTCAAATTAAGCGCCTCCCTCAAATAAGCGCCCGAGGCATTACGGTACTACTGCCATACCAAGCCATTAACAAAAGATACCATATCAGAGGACCTGAAATTGTTTAACTGCACTTATTATTCAGATTCTTACACATATAATCTATCAGCCAGATGACCATCAGTACTTCATGTTAACCTCACAAAGAAAAAGGAGCCTACACAAAAATGGAAACCTAAGCTTGCTACGGATATATAAACAAGAGAGGCTCCCTGTGTAGGTTTGCTAACGACAAGCCAGCATTATAGCCGTGTTCTTCTGTTAAGTGTCGTGAAAAATATTACAATTAATTTTATTTTGTAACTCACTCTATTTTTCGAAATTTTCAGCTTTTATCACTTCTACCAACGAAGATTTTACGACTTCTTGAATGGGTTGGCTTTTCAGGAGATAAGGTATCCCATTTTTCATTGTTTGTGAAGATTCTTGTATTCTTGTTGGATATTCGTGCTGACTCTTCTCCAAAACGCTATGGTATGAAAGTGCCCGCATTTGGAACCCCGTCACTACATGAAACGACACTAAAAGTGAAAATTACTAAACAAGATGTGAAAAAAACTCACCGAGATGTAAAACAACTCCACTAACACTAAAGCGGAATTATACCACCTCTTAACTTCGCACATCTTGTCCTACTGAATACGGCACTCTGAATCCAACATTTTATCAATCAACAATAGCTTTCTGACTTCTATGAACAAGGCATCTAAAAAGAATGAATCCAATAAGGAGTAAGAATGAAAATTGTTAATTTGAATCTGGAAAAATAGCAGTGACACAACGGAACATATCTCTAATGAGTATACTTTATAGTTTTTCGATGCCGACAATATGCATAAAATATATTCAGATTTGGTTACAAGTAACCAGTGGAAGATTGTTGTGTATCTTATTTGCATGTAACCATTTTCTCATAGTTTTGGACTAGAGAAATTTACTTTTGTATTTTCCATGCAGAGTCTCGGCCTTACCCATTTGGAAGATGGTGTCAAAAAGGACGGTATCCGATCACCATTATGTGCAATGACAGTTCTTGGCTATAGGATCGTAGTTGGTCCAATCTTAGGTGAGTAAATGTTGAACGCAGGACAGAATATGCCTAGAGAGGAGTCGTTTTTTAAATGCAACGAATCAAACGACTAGCAGTTTTATGGGACATTTTGTTGAAAATGCATTGACAGAAAGTTGAAAATAATGGATTTCTTTTCGCAAATTTTGATCCCAGATTCAGGTTAAGGACAAGAGGTTTAGCCTACAAATAAGTTTTCAATATCTTTATGCTCATTATTTTGATTTTATGACGAAGTTAATCACTTTTTAAGGTTGAAGAAAATCGACCGTAGTTAGCGACTGAGGGTGAAAAGGTTAAGCCGGAACGATTTTTCACGGCCAAATCCCTTACGATTTTTCAAATATAAGATAGCCAATAAGTCTACTATTCAAAACAAACGAACTTAAAATGTATCCGCCCTGAAATATTGTATTTAATCCTTATCTAAGCTCAGAAATGTCGCACAACGATTTCGAGAGTAACATTCAAACCAGGCCATAAACTGAATTGGTGCATTCGGGGAAATATTGTCATGCCCTATAAACCCCTTGTTACCAAACTTGTAGCACATCATGGCTTGAACCAAGTATCAACACGTGCTCATTGTGTTCGATTGTAATCCTTGTTCACATTTGGGATTTTCTTACCAGGAAGCTCTGAGTTTTTTACAGAGTGTTTTATTTTGTATTTAAATTAATAAAGGTTAATTCTTCTTTTAGTGTTTGCATCAACACCTAAAAAACATTCTTGTAAGGCGTTCACTGTTTACAAAGTATATGAAGATCTTAACTATTACAACTCAGTTTTCTAAGTTCTTAGCTTGCCCTTTAAACAAGGACAATTAAGAGTCAAGAAAAGTGTGCATTCTTTTTCTGGTGAAAGAAGAAGAGCCTTCTTTAAAGTAGGCTTTTGCTAAGACAATTTTAATCAAGTGTACCCTTGTTGTTGTACCGTGAGTTCTTCTGAATTTCAATTGACTTTCCCCGCGGCGGTCAGCCTTGAGATAGCCATCTTATGTTTCTTGGCTAGCTGATGTTTCGATTTCAAAATTTCTTGCCAATTATAGATTGCAATTCTTGCTTAGGTTTCAAGGATACAAACGAAGAGTACACTAAAAGCGTTCTTGGATCCTGTCTAGAAAAGTTTCCAGAGGTGAGTGATATTTGATATATGTTTCTCTAAACCTGTGTTTGATCCCTGCTTATTTGATAAGTTTCGAAAGATTCCTACCCGTGCAAGAAGCAGCTCATAACTAATCTGGTCGCACTGGCTTCTAGAAATGCATGACATACAATGAGTCAATATTGATAAGAATGACAGTGAATTGTTGATCGAGCGCCGGGTATATTCTTTCTACGTGTAATTTGCATTTCCAATATTCTCAAGTCTTGTCATTATGGATTTAAAAAGTTCAATTTTAAAGATGGTTTTAAGTATTCAATGATATGATAGATTTAATACCTTCAAAAGGAAGTTGTCCCTAGCCATTTTCACTTGATTCTGATAAAAACTTGTACCTTGTCTTCTATCGTAGGGTGCAATTTTTTTGTATTTCGCTGGAAGAATAGAGCAAGTTCAAGGAAAATTTGAGGATGTAAGTGCTTCAAAGTTCAACAAATATTGATACTGTATTTTAGAGAAATCGTACCGGTAAATTGGCATGGCATATTTATTTGTCTGCAATCATTGCTAAGCCCTGGTAAATGGAAATTGTATACAGTATACAACCAATTGAACCCCTTTATTACCTTCTTATTAACACCTTGTCATTTTCTGTTTGGTAAGGGCTTATAGAGGTTTCTTGAATGAGTCAGTCACGGTTGTTTTCAGCCCTATAGGCATTTGCTTTTATGGCATTTATGTTCCAAGGAAGCAGAATGTTTAGCTGGCTATGTAGATTCCCCTTTTAAGCGTAAAGAAGTGAATTCATCAGTGTAAAAAGGATAGTCCTCAGGTATTTCAATATTTTAAGATTGGCCGTTGGTATGTGATTAACTTTGTGTTATTGTGTGATCTGTTTTTTGAAGGCGATTCAAAGATACGAAAGCGCAGTGTCAATGAACGTCGAATGGAAGCAGATTCATCATGTTTGCTACTGGGAGCTGATGTGGTGCAACAGGTTCGAACATTTATATAACATAGCGACTGCTTGAAGTCTATATTGCTGTGTAACACGTCAGTGCTATCATTGGCCCTACTGAGACTGCTGGCCCCTATGCTCGTCTTTGCGTTGCATAGAATATTCATAATGTTTATCCTTAATTTTCAGTAACATTGCAGTTACCGAATAACGCTCATTCATTGATTTCTTATTTGCGTACCTGCCTAACTAGGTAGGTAATTCAGAACCATGCTGCGCTGAGGTTAAAGAATGCGTAATTGATATTTTGTATTATTAAGTCAAATGATTCGGTTTTCAAAAATATTGTTTCGTGAACTTTTGAAATATGGGACTTTAATTCTTAATCAGATGATGATTTGTAAATATTTATCAATGCTCGGTGATATTCAAAGGTATAGGACGACACTTTGTGTATTTTCAACTTCTCCTCCGTCTTCTTCTCCTTATTCTTCACCTTACTTTTTCCCTTACTTTTCTCTCCTTCTTCTTCTCCTTCTTCTTCTCCTTCTTCTTTTTCTTCTTCTGTTAATTTTTCCCTCTTGTTTGTCTCCCTGTTTTAATCTGTTATTTTTCTTGTTCCTGTCAATCCTTTTCTCCTTCTTCTTCTTTTCCTCGTTCGTCTTCTTTGTCTACTTCTCTTTCACCTTCCTCTTCTTCTTCTCCTTCTTCTTCTCCTTCTTCCGTTACTTCTTTTTCCCCTTCTTTGTCTCCCTGTTTTCATCTCTTTTCTTTCTTGTTCTCATTCCTCGTCTTTCTTCTCCTCCCTTTCTTTTTCTTCATTTTGTTTTGCTTTTCTCTTCTTGTAAAATTATCTATCTTTTTCTTTGTTTTACTTTTCTTTTTTGTCTTCTGCTCCTTCTCCTCCTTTTCCTTGTTCTTCTTCTTTGTCTACTTCTCCACCACCTTCTTCATCTTCTTCTTCTCTTTCTCCTTTTCTCCATCACCTTATTCTTCTCCTTCTTCTTCTCCTTCTTCTTCTCCTTCTTCTTCTCCTCATTCTTCTCTTTTTTTTCTTCTTCCGGTACTTCTTTTTCCCCTTCTTTGTCTCCCTGTTTTCATCTCTTTTCTTTCTTGTTTTTATTCCTCCTCCTTCTCCTCCCTTTCTTTTTCTTCATTTTCTTTTGCTTTTTATTTCGTCTTGTAAAATTATCTATCTTTTTCTTTGTTTTCCTTTTTTGTCTTCTGCTACTTCTTCTAATTCTTCTTGTTGTGGTCTTCCTCTTTTCCTTTTAATTCTTCTTTATTTTCCCCGTCTATTTTCGCTCACCTTTTCCTTTATTCGAGATGGTCAGTCTTGTACGTTGTCTCTACAATCTTCCATTTCTATTCATCTCTCTTGCTTGGTTTACGTATCTTCTTAGCAATCAAGGCACCTTTTCAATACATAACTGAATTCTCGTTATCTTCTTTTACCAGTTTCCAAGGCAGATGGAAGGATGCCGTTCATTTTGCAAGCACATTGGCAAAAGAAAGCAAATGGTCAAAAGTAAGTTAATAATTTATCCGTAGTTTGCTCATAGTGTGACCAACATGTTTTATATTATATATTTAAATTAGGTTGTTGTATTTTTGTGATGCATGCATTTATGTTACGGTAATCTATTATAACCGTAAAAAATTACGCAAATTCTCGGCACGAAATTCCTTCGGAGGCTGTGTTCTCTCTTGGCTATTATACTTAATCTATTACTCTTGTACGTTGCAATTTTTTTCTCTCCTCTCCATTGAACCCTAATGTTGCGTAAAGTCCTCAATGTTTAAGTTCAGGATTTGTGTCGGTCGCCTGCACCCTGTGGTGTGAGTATCAATCAGTTTCGAGATTCTGAATTTGATGCCAACTGAGCAATTTATTCGTTGGCAAAAACCCGCCATGTGGGGATGATTAATTTTCAGAATTCCGTAATACTCTTTATCACCGTAAGCTTTGAGCATGGCTTATAAAAGAAAACTGAATTTCGTACAACAGAGAACCTTCTGATTAAGTTCTGTTGAAGGCAATGTGGTTAAGATAGATGGACTCAAAGTTGCAACGTTTTTTTGTTATAAACTGATCTGTTTGGCTTTGGTAAAGACATTATAGTTGACCTGCTTTATAATAATGAATTCCAGCTATATAGTAAAGATTCCCTGCAACGCTATGATTTATGACGTATCCAATATAAAATTATCTCTTCATATCATTTTCTTTCACATAGACCGCCTACCTGTACCTTGAAGGCTGCTTTCGATTAATGGACATGTTTGAGAAAACAAAAACCAATTTTTGGGAAGATGAAGAAGAAGAGAAGGCCATTACAGAAATCTTTAAGTGAGTTTTTTATGAAGGGTGCACTGTTTTGTGCCTCTGAATTTGAAGTTGAAGCAAACAGAAATTGAAAACCTAATGCAAATTTTTATGAATGTGATTAATTATTGATTAGACTGTTTTGAAATTTCATAAAATTATACTTCATCAAAGGACTTGAGGTAACATATAAAAATGGGCCTCATATTTGGATTTTGAAAATTTGACTAGCAAGGCACCTTTTGTTTTTTTTAAATATAGGCTAAGTGGTAAGTTTTACAATCAAGTGAATTTTTTGCTTGAGCTTTCCAAGGTACTTGGTATTTTTAGGCCCTGTGAAGACAGATTGCTTTCTTATGTATTCGGCCCATTTAATGCAGTTGCTTTGCGTTTAGGTTAGTTCCAGAATTTAAACAGAGGGTTGCTGGTAAATCCTTGCCATTTGAAAAATATGCAGTTTATAAAGCGAACAAGTATGTGAAGCAAAAGAAAAGACTTGTTTTAGCTGGACTGGTAGGCATTTTTTGTTTTCTAGTTTTCTGCCAATCGGTATCAAGAGCCTTTACTTCATTTTTAGTTAGGATTCTTTGAAGCAAAGTTAAAAAGGAAAGAAGACGAAGAATTGCACTCTTTTAATTATCGGCTTTGAATAAAACATACCTGTATCTTATTTGGATTCTAGTGTCCGCCATTTCCTAACACTGTTGTCCTATAATACATTGTATATGCAACCTTATCACGGCATTAAAGAAGAATTTCGTGATATTTTTTATACGTGACTGAAATACGTAACTGAAGGTGAAAAAGTACTTGTAGGAATATTTACATGAAAAATCTACAAATTTCGAATAATTTATTATTCATTTGCTGACCTTTCTGTGGTATTTTTTCGACCCTTTTTATCAATCTTCTCAATGATTCAATGTAGAGTTACATCATTACATGTGGGTATTGCCACTAAAACACGAATCAGTCGTTGATAAAGTCAATCCTTATGTATCTTTTTTAAGCAATCGTCCAAAATTCTCAACAGGAAATCATCCTTAATATTCCATACCTTTACATTCTTCCAACGCTGTCTTGGCAAGTTAAACTAATTCTTTAGGCCTATGCTACCACTGATTTACACTGTTGTTTTTTATCCTCTTCAGGAAGTTATTTACATTTGGAATGGGTTCTCGATGGCTGGCTATCGTAAAGAACTCATGGAGCATTATTTAGACATCATTAGAATAACCTTAAAGGAGGTTGTCAGCACTAAAGGTATGATTATTATGATGACTACTGTCCAAGCATTATTTCTTGATTCTACATACCACTTTTACCGCATTGTTTTGTGGTTGAATCTGCTTTTTCTATTTCAAGTGCCATTTAACTGGTTATTTCTTCTTTTTTTTCAAGATACCAACGAGTTTTACGCAGATGAATACAGCTTGTGTAAATTGTTAGAAGGGATGTGTCTTCGCTACCTGGATTCCCCTTCCGCTGCAGAGGCGTGCCTTAGAGAGGTTGTCGAAAAGTGAGGCTGCATTACAACCTTGCTGATATTTAGAAATGGCTATTGTTATTTAATATTAGAAATGATTATTGTCATATATTCCTATTTGACCCAGTATCAAGTGCGCATCTGACAGGGCTTGTATGGGAGGAGGCTGTGTTTTCCCCATTCCCCCCCCCTAATTTAATAGTTAGCTATATAACAACTAGTCTGCTAGCCATTGCTTTCTCCTTGTCTACAACATCTAAAATATATAATAAGTTTTTTCTCCATATTCAACCTCGTTAATAACTTAGCTTAAACAATATTTGAATCATATTGAATGTATTTAATTCGGGTTTGTCGGAGAATTACACACTTCCAATTTGCTGATATCTGGCCAAATTTTTTCTTGGTGAGTTGAGTCCCCTGATGGTAGACAAAACATGAATATTATTTTTATCATATCTGTTTAGATAAGTTATGGGCTTTTTTAATTTTATCTTGCTATAGTACATATAGCAACAAAAAGCGATTTTAATCATAATAGACGAAAACATTTCTTTTAATGGCAACATGTATGATTTGCATTCTTCCACTCCCTATTCAGAGCGCCTGATATCAAGATAGACAATTACCTTGTTCCATATGCCTATGCTGAAATTGGCTTCTTGTTCAGAGCAATTGGAAGAAATTCTGATGCCATCAAACATTTAGAAGAAGTCAGGTTTGGATCATTCTCCTATTAAATTCTACACGTGATATTGATCAACGTAACACGGCGCATTTATTGGCCGTTTTTATGCAGTATAAATATTCACTTCATTTACACCTTACTCTAAACGGGACAATCGGTGACTGAGCTAATAATGCTCTTTTGAGAGAGTTAGGCAGGCTTGTTAAATTGTTCGCGAGGAGTCTTTTATTGAGCGTGCTTATAGTAGAAGGGACTTAATGAAAGTGTGCAACAAACTGTACAAAGCCCGTTCATTGACGTTTTCATTGGGAATTGAATCAAAATTAGGAAGTGTTTTTGAGTTCCGAGAACATTTTTTACGCGGAAGCGTTGGCGCCCAAGACAGATTGCTGGATACAGCGTCACGTGAAAGCGTCATGTGACCTGGTTTTCAACGTTTGCGTTTTTGACGATGCCGCGCAATATTTGAGTTTAACGCGAATTAGCAAGTGGGTAATGCAGGACGCATGTGCAAGAAAGAGGCAATGTGGATTCTTGGAAGAACGATTTTGAAAATGAGGCAAAAGTAGAACAAAGTTGGAAGAAATATTAAATGGCAAGTTTTGCTTCTTTAACTTTAAGATTTTGTTATAAATCGAAATTCATACAACGGTTATGGTCGAGGCCTTGTGGTCTCTTTTCTGCAACCTGTTGATTGAACATTCAATTGATAGGACCTACAAAAAAGTTCTTAAAAAAAATTAAAAGCTTTTTAACCGTTATAGAAAAAAGCCGTCCAAGCATAGTTTTCCAGCCCAATGGACAATAGTTTCTCCCCACACTCACGTTAATACACGTTCCATTTTCAATACAATTAAACTGATATTCAATTTTCTTATAGAAAGATGCAGTTGTTTTGTGGTACTGATAATTTCTGGTTCATGTTCAATCTTTTTATATATATTCACTTTGTTTCGACTGTAATATTTACTTTCTTTGTTTTTTGCATGGGCTTTACCTTCAACGCAACACCAACACATTCCATTTATAAGAAATCATCTTTGATTGAATGGCTACGTTTTCATATTTATTTAAGCAACTAAGTCATTCAGTAATAGTTTGCTTTTTTTAACTCTCCTGGAAATTGCAGCAGTTCTATTGTCGGCGTGGGTCTGTAGGCAACAAAACAAAACATGCTCTTCCATTTTGCACGAAATTCGGTGTTCAGTTGAATACCTATGCTTGATGTGTTGTGTCACGTTGAATCACAATAAACTGCGATAAAGAAGATTTCAAAATACACTCTCCATGAGCATACCAAGCAATACAAAAGTTGTCAACGAATACGTCACAGTCTCACGTGATACCTTTCCTGCCAAAATTTGAATATACGTTTTGAAGGTTTTAGAAGGCCCATATTCAAGAGAGGAAAATTGCGCCAAATTAGTTGGCAAAAATTCTTCAATAAGAAATTCTTATCACTCAATGTAATGAATAGAGAGCGGGTTATTTTTAATTTCGTCTTGAAATGGAGTAAAGCTTGGTTTCTATTAAATCTTGAAGCTATCACGGACACAATCGTCGCCGATCTTGTTTTAAAACTTCTATCTTTCGTCTACAATGCCAGATTTGTGTTTTGATTCGCATTGACAGTCTGCGATAGTCAGTGGCATAATCCATCGCAGCTCTTTGATGACGTATATAAGTCGCAACAGCGGCTATATAGCAAGTAAAAAAGTGTTGTCTTCAATGTGTAGTTTCCTTAATAGTCTGGAAAGTTGTACCCAATTTGACTGCCCTGGTGCTCCCGATTAACGACTCTCACTCAACAATGGTAGGAAACGCCAGGAACTGTTTTCGTTAACCGGGAGCAGACCGCAAATGATCGTAGTCTGTTGCCGACCCGTTTACGATAGCTCTACGATTTAATGGAAACCGAGCTTAATATAAAAAAGGAAGGTAGAAAATCTTCATAAAAAGGGAAGGTATAAAAAGTTTCTTCTCACTCGTAATGCAGTGTTTTTTTTATTTTAGAAAGAAATTCACAAAATACAGCCTGGAAAGCAGGCTTCATTTTCGCGTCCATTCGAACATAGAAGCGATAAAAGAAGAAATGAAGTCATCATCCCGGCAATCAACGTCTTCAGGCGAAGATGATACTGTTTATGATGTGGTGGAGATCCCCGATGCTGATGTTACAAACGATTACGTTTCAGAATTATCAAGCAACAAAGAAATAACCCTTCGCAAAGAAACTTCAATTTAGACCTGCACATCTGCAGTGTTTATTTGTAGAATCGCTTCAACATTCAGCTTGCCGCTACTTTTTGAAATATATTTTTACTGTATTTATTAACGGTTTTAGGTTAAGTTGTAAAGTTGTATTTAAAAATTTCAATTGACAATTGTAGTTATAGATTAATATCAAGTGTAACCATATTGTAGAATTTTGATTTAATTGTCATTATATTCAATTAAATTGCAATAAAACTGTTATGTCGATTTGGTAAAGAATCTGTGTCAAAATAGAAATATGCGAAGCCGTTGGCAATAAAAACCATAGATTCTATAATATTTACCTAAATGCACTTTAAGAATTGGCTTTTTTGTCTCATCGTTACAAGAAGAGGATACCGTGTGAACATCAATTTAGCTTTAACAATCATGTGTCATAGAACTTGAACTGAGTAGTTAGAATCAAAGCTTGTACGTTACTGCAAACACTCGTCCCATCCGCTCAAATTGGCCATTTCACGCTGAAATGGTACAGTCAAAGCTGAGTTGATCAGCTCTCAGAACAAATTTTTTCCATAAGTTTTAATCGTTCGGGCAATACCATTTAAAAACTACATTTTTTCCCTGGAGAATAAGAAAGAATTACTTTTCTCCGCAGTAAGTACAGTTACACCATATTTTGTTCATTTTCCTAAACATATATAATATTTCATTTTAAAATTAAAGAGATTTAAAAGTGTTCTCAAGCTGTTTTATTGCCTTAATTTTTTGTCAGGTTTTGGGTAGTAAAAAAGGTGGATTTTTCTTGAAAGAAATCATATAAATACCTTCCAAATATGATATAAATGTGTTATAAAGTTGTTTTATATGGTTTTCAACTGTTTTGAAGCGAAAAAATTCCATCATTTTTTGACAATTTTCCTAAGCCTATAGCCTTAGTTTTTTGTCAGATTTTGGGTAGTAAAAAAGGTGGATTTTTCTTGAAAGAAATCATATAAATACCTTCCAAATATGATATAAATGTGTTATAAAGTTGTTTTATATGGTTTTCAACTGTTTTGAAGAGTAAACATTTCCATCATTTTTTGACAATTTTCCTAAGCCTATAGCCTTAGTTTTTTGTCAGATTTTGGGTAGTAAGAAAGGTTGATTTTTCTTGATAGAAATCATATAAATACCTCCAAAATATGATATAAATGTGTTATAAAGTTGTTTTATATGGTTTTCAACTGTTTTGAAGCAAAAAAATTCCATCATTTTTTGACAATTTTCCTAAGCCTATAGCCTTAGTTTTTTGTCAGATTTTGGGTAGTAAGAAAGGTTGATTTTTCTTGAAAGAAATCATATAAATACCTCCAAATATGATATAAATGTGTTATAAAGTTGTTTTATATGGTTTTCAACTGTTTTGAAGAGAAAAAATTTCCATCATTTTTTGACAATTTTCCTAAGCCTATAGCCTTAGTTTTTTGTCAGATTTTGGGTAGTAAAAAAGGTGGATTTTTCTTGAAATAAATCATATAAATACCTCCAAAATATGATTTAAATGTGTTCTAAAGTTGTTTTATATGGTTTTCAACTTTTTTGAAGCGAAAAAATTTCCATCATTTTTTGACAATTTTGCTAAGTATATAGCCTTACTTTTTTGTCAGATTTTGGGTAGTAAAAAAGGTGGATTTTTCTTGAAAGAATTCATATAAATACCTCCCAAATATGATTTAAATGTGTTCTAAAGTTGTTTTATATGGTTTTCAACTGTTTTGAAGCGAAAAAATTTCCATCATTTTTTGACAATTTTCCTAAGCCTATAGCCTTAGTTTTTTGTCAGATTTTGGGTAGTAAAAAAGGTGGATTTTTCTTGAAAGAAATCATAAAAATACCTCCCAAATATGATTTAAATGTGTTATAAAGTTGTTTTATATGGTTTTCAACTGTTTTGAAGCGAAAAAATTTCCATCATTTTTTGACAATTTTCCTAAGTATATAGCCTTAGTTTTTTGTCAGATTTTGGGTAGTAAAAAAGGTGGATTTTTCTTGAAAGAAATCATATAAATACCTCCCAAATATGATTTAAATGTGTTCTAAAGTTGTTTTATATGGTTTTCAACTGTTTTGAAGCGAAAAAATTTCCATCATTTTTTGACAATTTTCCTAAGCCTATAGCCTTAGTTTTTTGTCAGATTTTGGGTAAGAAAAAGGTAGATTTCTCTTGAAAGAAATCATATAAATACCTCCCAAATATGATTTAAATGTGTTATAAAGTTGTTTTATATGGTTTTCAACTGTTTTGAAGCAAAAAAATTTCCATCATTTTTTGACAATTTTCCTAAGCCTATAGCCTTACTTTTTTGTCAGATTTTGGGTAGTAAAAAAGGTGGATTTTTCTTGAAAGAAATCATATCAATACCTCCCAAATATGATTTAAATGTGTTATAAAGTTTTTTTATATGGTTTTCAACTGTTTTGAAGCAAAAAAAATTCCATCACTTTTTGACAATTTTCCTAAGCCTAAAGCCTTAGTTTTTTGTCAGATTTTGGGTAGTAAAAAGGTGGATTTTTCTTGAAATAAATCATATAAATACCTCCCAAATATGATTTAAATGTGCTATGAAGTTGTTTTATATGGTTTTCAACTGTTTTGAAGCGAAAAAATTTCCATCATTTTTTGACAATTTTCTTAAGCCTATAGCTTTACTTTTTTGTCAGATTTTGGGTAGTAAAAAAGGTGGATTTTTCTTGAAAGAAATCATATAAATACCTTTCAAATATGATTTAAATGTGTTATAAACATGTTTTATATGATTGTCAACTGTTTTGAAGCGAAAAAATATCCATCATTTTTTGACAATTTTCCTAAGGCTATAGCCTTAGTTTTTTGTCAGATATTTGATAGTAAAAAGGTGGATTTTTCTTGAAATAAATCATATAAATACCTCCCAAATATGATTTAAATGTGTTATTAAGTTGTTTTATATGGTTTTCAACTTTTTTGAAGCGAAAAAATTTCCATCATTTTTTGACAATTTTGCTAAGCCTATAGCCTTACTTTTTTGTCAGATTTTTGGTAGTAAAAAAGGTGGATTTTTCTTGAAAGAAATCATATAAAAACCTCCCAAATATGATTTAAATGTGTTATAAAGTTGTTTTATATGGTTTTCAACTGTTTTGAAGCGAAAAAATTTCCATCATTTTTTGACAATTTTCCTAAGCCTATAGCCTTACTTTTTTGTCAGATTTTGGGTAGTAAAAAAGGTGGATTTTTCTTGAAATAAATCATATAAATACCTCCCAAATATGATTTAAATGTGTTCTAAAGTTGTTTTTTATGGTTTTCAACTGTTTTGAAGCGAACAAATTTCCTTTATTTTTTGACAATTTTCCTAAGCCTATAGCCATAGTTTTTTGTCAGATTTTGGGTAGTAAAAAAGGTGGATTTTTCTTGAAAGAAATCATATAAATACCTCCCAAATATGATTTAAATGTGTTATAAAGTTGTTTTATATGGTTTTCAACTCTTTTGAATCGAACAAATTTCCATCATTTTTTGACAATTTTCCTAAGCCTTTAGCCTTAGTTTTTTGTCAGATTTTGGGTAAGAAAAAGGTAGATTTTTCTTGAAAGAAAGCATATAAATACCTCCCAAATATGATTTAAATGTGTTCTAAAGTTGTTTTATATAGTTTTGAACTGTTTTGAAGCGAACAAATTTCCTTTATTTTTTGACAATTTTCCTAAGCCTATAGCCATAGTTTTTTGTCATATTTTGGGTAGTAAAAAAGGTGGATTTTTCTTGAAAGAAATCATATAAATACCTCCCAAATATGATTTAAATGTGTTATAAAGTCGTTTTATCTGGTTTTCAACTGTTTTGAAACGAAAAAATTTCAATCATTTTTTGACAATTTTCCTAAGCCTATAGCCTTAGTTTTTTGCCAGATTTTGGGTAGTTAGAAAGGTTGATTTTTCTTGAAAGAAATAATATAAATACCTCCCAAATATGGTTTAAATGTGTTCTTAAGTTGTTTTATATGGTTTTCAACTGTTTTGAAGCGAAAAAATTTCCATCATTTTTTGACAATTTTCCTAAGCCTATAGCCTTAGTTTTTTGTCAGATTTTGGGTAAGAAAAAGGTAGATTTCTCTTGAAAGAAATCATGTAAATACCTCCCAAATATGATTTAAATGTGTTATAAAGTTGTTTTATATGGTTTTCAACTGTTTTGAAGCGAAAAAATTTCCATCATTTTTTGACAATTTTCCTAAGCCTATAGCCTTACTTTTTTGTCAGATTTTGGGTAGTAAAAAAGGTGGATTTTTCTTGAAAGAAATCATATCAATACCTCCCAAATATGATTTAAATGTGTTCTAAAGTTGTTTTATATGGTTTTCAACTGTTTTGAAGCGAAAAAATTTCCATCATTTTTTGACAATTTTCCTAAGCCTATAGCCTTAGTTTTTTGTCAGATTTTGGGTAGTAAGAAAGGTGGATCTTTCTTGAAATAAATCATATAAATACCTCCCAAATATGATTTAAATGTGTTCTAAAGTTGTTTTATATGGTTTTCAACTCTTTTGAATCGAACAAATTTCCATCATTTTTTGACAATTTTCCTAAGCCTATAGCCT